CCCAAAGCCCCAGTAGATAGTTGTATGTCATAGATTCACATCCTTCTAGTTGCTGTACGTGGGACTCGGCCTCGCGTTGGACGGAGAAGTGGTGCCTCGGGGTGCTTCCGGGATCCGAACCCAGGTCGCCAGCATCAGAGCGCGCACACTTAACCGCTAAGCCACAGAGCCGGCCCACATTGGTAACTTTTTAAAGAGTCATAATTATAGAAACATGTCATTTCAGATTTTGCCATTTCTACTTCATATCATAACATTTGCTTCAGTTTCTCCACAGAACACGTTTACTGTTTGAATTACTGACATACAGAATCAAAGGACACATTCTTATCCCCAGTCCAATTTACCTTGAATTCTGATAACCATTCTTCTACAACACCACGTTCAGATCCCAGCATCTTCTTTTACCTTCTATTCCTCTTTTATCTCTGAAAGGAATAAAGCACTGAACTTGAAGATAGCATTACTTACAGAAACTACCAAAGGTAAATGATGTGTGCCTTTCACTAAAGGAGAAACTCATCTAGTATATATTTTAGATAGGGAGGTTTACTTTTAGACTAGAGCTCAATTAAAACAAAATTGTTTTTAAGAAATAAGTTATATTTTTAATGATACATTTGAAACCTATTTTCCTAATGCCTTTATATTCTCCCCAACAACTATACTTCAAAGTGGCAAAAACAAGTTTACAGAGAGAAATCAAACTGCACGTTACCCAAGACAAATGCACATTCTATGCCTGAACTTTACCAAATATACAACTGGAATAAGTAACGCATCATAGAGCAAACCATGTGACAGATTATAAATCACAAAGATAGAAAAGCTAGAAATCGAGGGTCATATATTCAGCAAACTGCTTATAAACATATATATACTGCACAAAATAAGGCCTTTGAAGAAGGTAGATTTATATGTTTTCTAAAATGGAAAAATGTCTAAGTAAAAAAAACAAGTTGTACAATAGTATGTAAACTGTAATTCCACTAAAAAATTATATAAAATGTGAAAAAAGCCTAGAAGCATATATACACTAAACAATTAAGTGTTTGCCTCTGAGACAAGGATTACTAAGGATTACTTACCTTATTATTTATAAGGATTATTTATATTATTATAATTAGGTAACTTTGAATTATAAAAAAATAAAAATAAGCATATATTATTTTTAAAGTGAAAAAGACAATAAAAGGTTTTTAATTTAAAGCTCACAATGGGGGGCCGGCCCCGTGGCTCAGCGGTTAAGTGCGTGCGCTCCGCTGCCGGCGGCCCGGGTTCAGATCCCAGGCGCGCACCGAGGCACCACTCCTCCAGCCATGCTGAGGCCGTGTCCCACATACAGCAACTAGAAGGATGTGCAGCTATGACAGACAACTATGTACTGGGGCTTTGGGGGAAAAATAAATAAATAAAATCTTTAAAAAAATAAAAATAAAAAAATAAAGCTCACAATGTAAGAACAAGAGGAAATAAAGAACTTCTTGGGGGAAAGGTAAATGTCTTCAAAGTAACTGAAATGAAAATAATTTTATGAAAAAGACAGTATCTCCTAAGAGTGTGTCAAAATTCACACTAAATTTCTAACTAAAAAAGGAAATCAGATTTTCTAATTTTTCCCCTCAATTCCAAAAGGATTTTTAAATATCCCTATATAAAGCACTATACCAAGTACTATGTAAGCAAAGAGTACAAAAAGGAGTAAGCTATGCCCCTTGTTTTCAAACAGCAGAAGTTCTTAAGATACACTGATGGATTTATTCAAATAAATTGCAAGAGAAAAAAGAGATAGTAAGAAAACCTACAGATTAAAAGAGATGTTAAAAAAAAATTAGTAGCCAAAGTATGAATCTTATTTGGACTCTGATTCAAACAATTAAAAAGAACATGACACAACTGGAGAAAGTTCAACACGACTGATTATTTGATGGGTATTAAATTAAGGAATTATTATAGTTTATTTTTATATTTGATAATGGTATTATAGTTAGGTTTTGAAAAATAATGCTTATCTCTTTAGAGATACATACTGAAATATTTATTGGTGAAATGATGCCTGGCATTTGCTTTAAAATAATTGGAGGGGCAGGGAGCCAAAGGAGGAGAGTGCACTGGGTACAGGTGAAATACGACTTTCCATAAGTTGATAACCCCTCAAGCTGAGTAACCAGTACACAAGTTTCATTCCACTATTCTCTCTACTTTGTTAAAGGTTTGAAAGGCACTGTAAGGGAAAAAAAAAGGATTGATGAACTAACACTACACACAAATCATAATATACAAGACATAAAGCAACGGTTCTTAACCTTTTTTGAGGGAGGCAAAAGCAGAAGGTCACAACCTCCTTTGATATCTGAACAAAACTATGAATTCCTACTTCAGAAAAAGATAAATATGAAGCCCATACAAACATAATTTTGCAAACAATTTCAGAGAGTTCACAGATCCACTAAAGCCCATGAATAGACAGGGACTCCCAAGTTAAAAACTCTTGCTGAAGAAATGAGACTTTTAAAAGTAACTTCAAAAAGTAGAGTACAACTACACAACCAAATGATAATGTCCCTCAAAGAAGTCGTTTTGTACGGTTCCTATATTTATTACAATCACCCTTTTTTTCTTTCAAATACCAGTTAAGCGGTACTAAATACTCTTTAAAACCTAGTTCTTCACCTAAAAATGGATTCCATGATATAACTATGATTACTGTGCACCCTACGAAAATTACACCTCAATAAAAAAATTTTAATTACAAAAAATAACAAGCCTGGATCCATCAAACACTATAACTTCGTTAAGAACAACTGTCTAAATATCCTAAGGTAGTTGTCCCTGGAAGCTTCTCAGAACTCAAGAAAGCAACTGATCAAAAAGCAAAGGAGCGATTCAGTCAGAAGCTCATTGATCCATTCTATAAATATTTCTTAAGCACCAACTGCATGCCAGCCATTATGCTAGGAAATGGAAATATAATGGAAAACAAAATCAGATGAAGACTCACTCTCATGGAGCATTCATCTACAGGAGACTGAACACATCTTTGCTGAGATGAGGAATAAGAAGGAAAGGCACACAAAAGCATAAAACAAGGGAACCTAACATTGATGAGGGAATCAAAAGAGGCTTCTCTGAGGTAGCACCTAAGTTGAGATATCAAAGATCAGTAGAAGTTAAGGGGAGTCGGGAAAGAACATTCTAGAAAGAGGGAACAGCCTATATAAAAGTCCAGTGGCAAGAAAAAAAACCACAGGAAGTTGTTGAATCTGAAAGAAGATCCAAGTAGCCAGGAGCACCGAAAGCAAGGGGCAAGCACTGAGCGTTGAGAGGCAGGCCGGGACTGATGGTATCAACAGGACCTTCTGGTCCACATTAAGTGTGGAAAGTGACTGAGGATTTTAAGCAGATGGATAACAAGATTCAGGGTTTGAAAAGTTCACCTGACTAAGATGCAGAGAAAGGACTGGTACCCCTTTCAGAGTGAGCTACAACTTTCCCAAAAGTATGAAGACTAAAAAAATTCCAGGCTTGCTGCAGTATTTGTTGTTGTTTTTTTTTATATAATTTTATTTATTTATTTTTTCCCCCAAAGCCCCAGCAGATAGTTGTATATCATAGCTGCACATCCTTCCAGTTGCTGTATGTGGGACGCGGCCTCAGCATGGCCGGAGAAGTGGTGCGTCAGTGCGCGCCTGGGATCCGAACCCGGGCCGCCAGCAGTGGAGCACGAGCACTTAACCACTAAGCCATGGCGCCGGCCCACTACAGTATTTGTTCTGTGAGTTCCTACCAACTCTCTGGAAATTAAAAAACCTGAACAGCTACTTATAATAAAAATCGTTTTTATTTACAAAGTACCTGAAAAATAAGCAAGCTAGTTCCATTTTTACTAAGCTTCAAATAAAGTATAAAAAGTTAAAGTAAAGCCCACAGTAGTTTCTCAGGAAATAATTTTTTTAGGGATAAATTCACATCTTGATCTCCCTTTACTATTTCTCTTTCCTCCCAAGTCTCTTTTGAAGAAAAACAATAGGGGCTGGGGCCAGCCCTGTGGCCTAATGGCTAAGTTCAGCACACTCCACTTCAGCAGCACAGGTTTGGTTCCTGGGTGTGGACCTACACCAATTGTCAGCAACCATGCTATGGCGGCGACCCACACAAAAAATAGAGGAAGACTGTCACAGATGTTAGCTCAGGGCTAATCCTCCTCAAACAAACAAAAAAAAAGATGAAGACTGGCAACAGGGCCGGCGCCATGGCTTAGCGGTTAAGTGCACGCGCTCCACTACTGGCGGCCCCGGTTCGGAT